TACCAGAGGAAGTTATCATCTGAAAAAAATCAATTTACATCCAGAAAAAAATAAAATAAAATAAAGTTTTCAAAAGCTAAATCTCAGAATGAATGTAAGAGCTACTCCAACCTGCAGCCACCTTGAGAGGCGCAATGCTCGAATTCCGCATCTCCTGTGCTGTTTTAACCATTCCTGTATGATTAGGCTCATTCTTACATTTGTTATGACTAGTACTGTACAATGTATTGATGTAACCCTTGTTTTCAGGAATTTCCTGACCAGGTCATGTTTATAAATGAGAACTGGTTGTCAACGATTTCAACTGGTAAAATAAAGGTAAAAAACAAGCAAACGAAAATTAACATTCTGAACTATGAGCATTTAACTATTTACAAATATTTTTACCATAAAAATCATACAAATACACAGACATCTCTTTAAGTCTTTCAACTTTTTTATTTGCTTCAGTGTAGTTTCAGGTCTCTCTTGTAAATGAGTCCTCGAGGCTCAATGGGATTTACCTGTCTAAATAAACGTTGAATGAATGTAGTTGATTTGTATTTTACTTTTTTATGTTTCTTTTAGTTTTTAGTTTCCGTTTTGCTGTTTTAAGCCAGTTTTTGCTACTTTGCACTTCTTCAGAATGAGCATATTCAAATTTAAATATACGCTGCACTAAATACATCCGCTTTGATTATTTCTACATATTTTACATATAGTTTTGGACATTTATGCTATCGCTAATGCATCCGGAAGTGCTGCAGCACCCTCATTCATACAGCCTTGTATCAACAAAGTATGAATTTAATCTATATTTATGCACCAATGTCAGCAGCGTGTGCAAACAGAATTAGCTTAGCATTTTTTTTTTCTCACATTTGATTCCTGTTTATGTGAAAGGAACGGTGAACTTCAGTAGATATGGTTATAGGCATTTAAGAGGGATGGAAGCAGGCAAAATTAATTTCAACATGCTACTGCTTTAGAGTCACAAAAAAAGTAATTTTGTCAGGAATTATGGTTTATTTTTAAATAGGCTCTAGGTAAAACTGACAAACACACAAACAAAAAAATAACTTTCACCACTGCAGCGGTCATTTCAGTCCCACAGACTTGTTTGTAATCTCGGGCTGATCTTTTTTCTTTTTCTTTGCTTATTCTTCAACTGCTTTTGTAGAATTGTCAAACGCCATGCACCAAAGTAACGTCCTTGTGTGACTTTTGCATTATGCTCTCTAAAGTGCTGCTTGTTCTATGAAAGAAAGGGGTCTTTATGTTTTTTTTCCAAACAGCTCAGAAATTCACATCACACACACTGATTTACTCTCATCACATGTCTTCTGTGAGACACAAACAACTAGCAAAGTAAAGAGAGGCTGGATGTTTCATGTGACTGTGTACACTTGTTTTTCAGCGCACACTCACGCTGCTGTTACTTCGGTACGGTTTCCACCAGCAGTTCCACGTGTTCCCCCCCCCCAGCTCGGAGCTGGACCCATTCAAGGGGACCTTTAATAGACTTCTCCCGGCAGCTTCTCAGTGAGGCTAACTGAGTCAGCGACTGCTCGACATCACTCTATATTAGCTGCTTAAGTGGTGATTCACAGAGCCTTAAAAATAAATAAAAACGGCGAGCATCACCTTGCCAGCGGATTTATTCCAGTGCATTATTCAGAATGTGACTCATTAATCGGTAAATTACTCCGTGGGCGTCACTTTTTTTTAGTTAAGGAAAAGATTATGCCTTTAAGTTTGTCATCTATGGATTAAACTCACAAGACTAGCCAAACCAAAAATAAATTTAAAAAAGTATAGTCAAAAAAAATGCTTTTAAATGGTGTACAAAAAATTACACACTGCTAATACAGAATATTTGACTAAAACATTGTCAATTTAATGTGGTGTGCACCGAATTGTTTTGTTCATTGAGCTTTTTTATTTTACTTTTTGTTAACACAAAAGGCCTAGCGTTTCATGAAGGAATGACCCATCCCCTTTCAAGTCTCATAATAAGTTAAATCATCGAGAAATTAACTTTTTCTTTTAATTAAACCTTGAAAATAATGTTAAGCGCAATCTTGTACAACAATGCAATACATACTTTTCAGAGTAACTATGATATATTTTGTTAACAAGCACAAACATATGCACCCACAGGCAAAAACATTATCACCCGCCAGGTGAAAATAAAAGGCGTTCATGGCAAAATCCACAACTTCGGCTTATCGGCCGAAGTTAAGGATTTCATGTGGGTCTTGTTTTCACCTTTGCTAACTGTTAGCGGTTCAATCGAGATTCTACACAAGCAAGAATCCTTTAGCCGTGATCAGGCTGCTGACAAGTGTTTTCACTGGTTCCGGTCCTTCTGACTCTCTGCCCAGAGTGTTTTGGAGGTTACACTTCTTCAACACACCTCATTGAAAAGAATGGGTCATTGCTGCAAATCAAGATAACGCCCTCATTTGAATGGAACATAATGAACCTGGATAACATCTGAAACATGCAAGGCTCGAGGTTTGAAGCCTAAAATTGGGAAACTCTGATAAAGAAGTGTGAAGAAAAATAGCCCTACATTCTTCATGCAGCGCTACCGCTCTTCACAACAGGACTAATGAAGTGCCTGACCTTTCCTAACTGATGACACCCACTCAGCAGCTTAAACACCCAACTACAGACGCAACCAGTGAGTCCAATTAAAACCAACAGTTCTATAAAATCCTTTCTGTAAACGCCGGTGGAAAAATGAAAACATTAGGTGATGGCATTAATAAAAAGGGTGCATAAAAAAAAAAACATAAATATTCAGAGAGGGTGATAGAAACATTTTATTTTCATTATGAACAACAAATTATGCATTAGCCGAGTCTGGTTTTTTACAACCACTGGATCACCAAAAGTGGAAAGAGCTAAAAACTCATTTACTTAACTCTAAAGCATAAAAAAAACAGCGACGTATTAAAATATCTAGATTTCTATGACACGTTTTACATCATATTGTAAGGTTCTACTTTTTTTTTTTTTTACTTACTATAAAAACTTTAGTATGTAAAGGTGGATGTTGAGAAATAAACCACTGATTCACTGATCCTCACAGCAAATAGCATACGGTATAAGGTACTAGTACTAGCACTGTGGGAGTGGTGGAGCAGAGGTTAGAGAAGGTGGGCCTCTGATTAGAAGATCGCCGGTTCAACTCCCGGTACCAACAACATCAAAATGTAGGTGGGATAGGTGAAGCACCCACACCTGCCTCCACCCACATTTGCCCCACTCTGGGCCCTTGAGCAAGGACCTTAACTCCCCCAGCTGCTCCTCTAGATGCCCTAGATAGCAACTCTTTGCTCCACACAGAGGGCTGTGGTAGCGTCAGGAAGGGCATCCGACGTAAAATAATTGACAAGTCTTTGTGCAACTTACTTCACTGTGGCGACCCCTGAAGAAGGGAGCAGCCGAAAGAAGAAAAAGAAAAAAGACATAAAGGTACCAATAATAGAAGTAAAAAAAAAAGCATATGGTATAAGGTACTAGTACTAGAAATTAAAAAAAGCATATGGTATAATTTACTAGTACTAGAAGTAAAACACAACAAAAAAGCATGTGGTATAAGGTACTAGAACTAGAAGTTAAAAAAATCATGGTATAATTTACTAGTACTAGAAGTCAAAAAAGCATATGGTATAAGGTGCTAGTACTAGAAAGTAAAAAAAGCATATGGTATAAGGTACTAGTACTAGAATTAAACAAAAAAAATCATATGGTATAAGATACTAGTACTAGGTACTAGTACTAGACGTTAAAAAAAATCATATGGTATAATTCACTAGTACTAGAAAATAAACCATATGGCATAATTTACTAATGCTAGAAGTTACAAAAGCATATGGTATAATTTACTCATGCTAAAAGTTAAAAAATAGTTTTTGACATTTATACATTTGAACTCAATTCACAACTATTGTATTTTTCTCATTTTAGCAGATCCTGCTCATAAAAGAAGAAAGAAAGAAAAAGTTCCACAGTATGATGCTACCACCACCATGCTTGGACGCAGGTGTTGTATTCCCAGTGTGATGAGGTGTTGCATCCGTCCACACAAGGTGTTTTTCATTTATTTAAACGGTGACTTTAAGTCACATCTGATTAAAGTAATGCTTTTCAATACACAAAATGTTTTGTTTAAGTATTTTGTTTTCTGGCTATATGTACTTTATACTTTTATTTTTTTTAGTTAGTTTTTTTTTTATCTAAGTGGCTAAATAGTTTCAGCTGGTCCTCTTTTTGATAACAAACAGCTGCTGATCAATGCTAACATTTTGCTTTCACTACACGCTAACATCCTTTGACGTTAAAAACATATTTAAAGCTACAAATGAGATGTCAAGGAAGGGACATTGATCGGCATATTCTGAAAAGGTGAACACTTAATAAATTTTTTTAGTCTCGAAAACTCCAAATACAGAAAAAAAAAGGCAGAAAATCTCAAAGAATAGGAGACAACAGCAAAGTTGAGTGACCAACGCTCCTTTCCAGCAGCATTTAACAAGCGTATACTCTGAGTTGTAAGAAGAAACTATCTTTGGTAACAATGCTTCACAGTCCTTTTGTTGAACTTGTTATAATAAAGTCTGGAAATTGAATTTGTCGGTCACCTATAGATGCTTCCTATCATGTAGCTTTTGCTATTTCATTAAGGGAAAGCAGTGCTCCATAACCACTGAATCCCAGCTCTTGGAAGCGTAATTATATTCTAAAGAGTTGAACATAGAAGACTTAATATTGCACAGAGTTAAAATTGGATTTATTTTTTTATTTTTTGCAGCTTAGCTTTCTATATGCAATTAGCTGCTTTCATACAGAGGTAGCAGAAATGCTGCCTCCTTCCTTTTATTATTTCCTGTCCAAACAAGTTTGTTTGTGCATTTGTTCAGTGTTTACTGCACAAGTGTGTCAGTATCAAAGCTCCTCTGCAGGTTTTGCTTAATAATGCATCTGTGGTTTAGAGATGTAAACATACATACCAGCAGGACAGTGTCCTTCTGACATAATGAGGACTTCAGACTGCTGCTTGCAGGCATCTCTGCGGAGCAAACACTCGTTCTGATAGTTCTTATTGTTGGAGCCACACACTGGGGCATAGTCATTGTTGCACTGCAGGGAGAGGAGAGAAAAGGAAGAGAGATGAGCAAGACAGGCAAGGAAGTCAAATTATGGTAATACATTAGAAAACTCAGAGTGTGAATCCTAAAATAAACCTTATCAAGATTCACAAATCCGGTGAGGTGCCACAAATTTATTCTTCTAGTTAAAATACTGTTCAACGTTTTCAGCAAAATGCAAAGAGTGTTCAGCTGACAGATACTTTTACATTCACAGTAATTATTGACAGTCACTTAAAGGTGGCATCTAGTTGGTGAACAGTTTTGTGAAGGAGTCTTCAACATGACTTGGGATCTTTGCAGGGGTTCTCGGTTTTCTCGCCTAGAATGGAGGGGGAGATGGATTAACAGATTGACGCTTTGTCCTCAGTAATGAGGGCATTGGTCCAGTCTGCCTTGGTGAAGAAAAAGCATAGCCAAAAAGCAAACCTTTACATTTCCTGATCCATGTTTCAACCATTGGCTACAATCATGAGGTTTGGATCATGACTGAAAGAGATCCCAGATCCAAGCAGCTGAAATGAACCACCTCTATAGCGAGACATGATGAGGGGCTTCATCATCCAGGGGGAGCTCAGAGTAGAGCTGCTGCTACGAAAGAAGTCAGCTGAGGTGGTTTGGTCATTACTGGGTGCCTCCCTGGGTGCAGACCCAGAATGCACTGGAGGAATTATATTATTATTGGAGAGTCTCAATGGAGAGAAGGAAGTCTGGGTTTACTACCTGGACCTCGTGTCTCGGATAAGCAGCTGAACTTGGATTGAGTCAAAGAGGCTGTCAGTTTTCATGCTTAAATTTTGAACATAGTCAAAATACTCGTATAACAATTTCCTCAAAGTAATTACTGGGTGGTCACAACTGTCACAAACCATTCTAAAGAGCAGAGCTGGTCCTGATGGAAAACATTTCCATACCCAAAACCTACGCTGATGATAAATACTATTTATTATACAACTGTTCTAAATCTATCTTTACTTAAAAGTGTAGATCAACTCAAAGGTAGAACATCTACCAAGATGGGTACAAAGCGGGCCAAAGTGGGGCCAGTGTAGGAGAAGGAAGGCAAAAAACAATGTGCACTGCCTAGAATACCTGTGCACAAAAATAGGTTATGATTTTAATAAAAATGCAACGCAAAAGGCTCACTGGTCATGTAGTTGCAAATACTGACTTCAGTGAGACTGTAAGCCACATAAATGCTCAAATAACAGCTTTAAAGCAACAAAAAAGGCTAGTTTTAACATATAAGACCAGTAAAAACAAAACAACAACCATTAAGAAACCTGGAGTCACTGTTTGGGTAAACCCCATTCCAGTATCTATAACCCTGGTCGACTTTTGTTTTGTCAATTAGTGACAATTACTACTTATATTACTATCAGTAGTAAAAAAAAATATATATATATTTATTTCCTCATGCGTTCATTTATTTAATTGATGTTGACAGAACTGAAATAATTGGTAATTTAATTGGAACTGGTGATGTTTTGAAGCATTTTGACATCACTGCCTCAGAGAAGTGATGGTGGAGAGGGCGGGCTCCAGAAACCATCTTATCACTAACAAAGTGTTTTTTTTCCCCACTATGGGAGTGTGGTATTTGTGGGACTCCAGTTTGTTTGTGGCTTCTCGAACTGAAGAAGGACGAAACATCTCAGCAAAAAAACAACAAAAAAAAAAGAAACCATCCAGATGACTGAATGAACATTGTTGGATTATTGAGCATGAACGGTTGCTGAACTGGTAATTAAGTTTCCATTCAGTCTGTTGTGCTACGATGCTAACGTACCCAGCCATGGAGGCTCATGTCGAAAGTGATATTTAAGGCTTCAAACATGAGCTGATATGAATCTGAACGTGGTGTTCCTGTTAAAGATGTAATTACACTGATACACAAACACTCTGATTAGAGGAAATGCAGCATAAACAAGTCAACAGCATGACAGGGAAGTGGGGGCACCTTTGGACAAAATATGTAAAGATTGACTGGATCCGGCTAAATGAGGAATTGTGTGGTGAGATGTTATGAATCCCCAGAGGCTTTTGCAGCATAAACAACATGAAGAAATACTTAATGAAGGTTTTTTACAGTTACAGTTGGTGAGGTCAAAGGTTACTTACAACACTATTTACTGCTGAAGACTCAAAGACTTTACTATGTGCTTGACTAAATTAAATGCTTGGTAGAAAGATACCAACAAGACACTTATAAATAAAGACAATTCTATTTAATGTGTCTTACTGCACACTCTAAAAAAAAAACACGTTGACGTTAAAAGTCATCTTTACATGTTGTCTTTCTGTATCTAAGAAGGATTTTAATTAGAGTCACACTGACTGCATTCCTTATATCATTATTTTTTTCTTCCTGGTTTTGATTGGTTATTCAACGTCATTTCCATCCATTTTACATAAATATCAACTTATTCAGAGTTGGAAAACATCAATTTTTTAAAGGTGATGCCCACAACCTTAGATACGTATGCTGGGCGTGCTCTGCCTCGTACTCATTTCGACAATGACTTGTCGTTATAGAAATAAAATAACCAAAACATACTTAAAAGCTCCGCAAGAGCTGTTTAACAATAAAGTGGAGGGACAGAAAGCTGCTTTAGATGTTCGGACCACAACTGGTCTAAACTCAGATCAGGTGATTTAGGGCAGTGGTTCTCAAACTGGGGTTCCAGGACCACCAGGTTCCGCTAGCCAGCGCTTGATGGTCCGTAAAAAAAAAAAAAAAAAAAAAAGTTTATTTTACAAGAATGTAGATGATTAACAACCGTTAAAATGCAGGAAATCATGTCTATTCAAAATTTGCTGGGGAAAAAAATGTTTTAAAAACAGTACGTATTAAATGTATTAAATGTAAATGTATTAGTATGTATTAAAAATGTATGAAAAAACAGATCTTTAGTATTTAATGTTACACAAATATTTCTGTAGCATTAAAGAGGCAAATTGAAGACAATTATTGAATAAACATGAGGGTTCTGAGGAGGTTCCTGAAACTTTTTCTCCCCTGTAAGGAGTCCCTAAACTCCAAAAGTTTGAGAACCCCTGATTTAGTGGGACCATTCCAAACCATTTCTGGGAACCCAGCCCAGGTTGGATTTCAGAGGGGAAGAAAAACCGCTAACCAGATCACAGCGTACGTGGACGCCCCTTCAAGACAGTTTGAAGAAGACATAGGAAGAGCAAAGCAAAGTGTTCAAAGCTGATTTTCAAGCAAAACACGGCAACTATGAAGAATGAAATAAATTATACCAGAGTCTGAGCGTTCTTTGAAAGAAGATAAATCGTCATCTGCCTTTTTTTTTTTTTGCCAAGTTTTAAACAAATTTATTTTATGTTTAGAAGTTGCATTGCAACTTTGAAAACAACATATATTGTGATATAACGGGATATGAAATTTTAGAAATTCATTGCGTTACAGCCAGTTTTATGTTGGTTGTTGCAGCCAACATGAACTGCCTCCAAAAGTTAATGATGTGATGCACGTCAAATGACAACGCTGTGAAAGGTTCATTAAAATCCATCCAGTGGTTATTAAGATATTTTACTAACAGACAGACAAAATGTACTCCAAGTTAATGCCAACTAATATAAATATTGCTTAACCTTTCAATGCATAGACTATGTTGTGCATGTTAAGACCACACCAAAGTTTAGCTCAATACCTTTAAAATTGACCAAATTAAACACATTTTGTTGTTTTCCAGGTTCGGTTGGCTGTGGCAGCCATCTTGAATTAGGTTATCTCCAAACAATAATCAGTTGTAGATGTAAATAACATATATAATTTTTTATTTTATTTGGCTTATGGTTACTAAGGTATTTTGCTATTAGACACATGAAGACACAGCGAAACATTATATGGGATGTCAAAAAACATCTGACGGAGTCCTGTGCATACAGCAATGAAAAACTAAAAATAAAATAATAAAATAAAAACTTTTACTTTAACCCTCTGCGTTATTTGTCTATTAATATAAAAACTGTTAATACCCGTGTTTGGTTAATATCTAATTTTTCACCTGTAATATCTCAGCAAAGATAAAAGTTCAGTTTTCGATCGTCTTCAAGCAGAAAATAAAACTTTGAAACTAACACAATATAATTTAAGTCATATTCACATAGAAAAATTAAAGTTTTAGATATATTTTTTTAGAAAAATAGCTTTCATCTCTTGCTGATCTCCTCTTGTTGCTCCACTGGAGCAGTGGGAGGTTAAGTGACTTGCTCAAGGGCACTCAGGAAAATAGCTGTTAAGGTACAGAGGAACATTACTCATTCATATCCCCACATGGTTTGTTGGCAGCAGAGCAAGTCGAGATTTTTCAGATGACTGATGGCACTGGAGGGCTGTATCTCGGTGTTCGCTTTCAGGCTTTGGGTGGGGTGATGGAAAAGAGATATTCATTTGATTTCATATTGATTTTCCGCAGCTACACTGTTGGAATAACAAATGTGATTATTCGGTAGAAAAATATTACCCGCCTTTCCTGGGGAGGAGGCAATAGCTTTAAGAGGCTGCAGAGAAATTGTTGCCCCATATCGAAATTAACTTTAAAAAGTGCTGATAATTTGATAATGTGTGGACATGGGTTCCAGCTGGGTGGGACATCACAAGGGCAGGACCGTCCTCATGGAGTGAAGCACAGGCTGGACAAATGGACTGTCCAGAAATCCTTTATCCTTGAGAAAATCATCTATCGGTGCATGTGGATAGTGTGTCATGTAAACATGTCACCTGTTGTGTGTTGTGCAAACTCTTTAATGGTGTACTGAGACAAAAACAGTTATCTGCTCATTTGCACCCAGTTTTACAGCCGTTCTTTATCAGCTAACTCTCCTGTTTTTACATCGTCACATTACTGTTACCAGGAAGGTTATTTGAGTTTCCAAAGGAAAATAAAAGGATCAAACATTATGCTCTGTTTGAGATAAATGCACAGATTTAAGAAATGTAAAATGTCATCATTAAACTGGCAG